CATTTGAGGATGTTATGGATAAACTTTTCCTCCATGTACACCAGAACGCATTCTGCGAGATAGAGCGTTGGCCGGCTGCCGTTTGTTAGCCTATGCTGGGTCTCGTTCTTCAAACCTTGCGTCAAACCCGGTCGCTTTGAGCTTTGGCACAATTGTTTGATCCCAATCCCTCAGGTCGCCGCTCAAGAGGAAGTAGTCTTGTCCGTGGATCTCACATCCTCCGCCAGCTGTTTGGGCATCAATACTGAGTTGAATGGCAGCCTTACCTAGCTTGCTCTCCCCCAACAGGCCATTCATGGTGCTGTTCCTCTTCACAACCATGCACTTTTTCGCCGCGATTTCCTGAAAGTCGATCTCAAAGTACCGCACGGGTTGCTCTCCCTTGGACTGGTGGTATTCCTGTCAGAAAGGCCCCAGAAAGACAAGGTATAGTACCTTTAGCAGAAAGTATCGGGTGTCGAAGCCGGCTCCCAACACCACAACCTGAGCGCCGCCAAACTCTTTGGCACCCTGAAGGAACTTTCGAACCAGATTGTCGATGGAGACCGACCGGGCATAGGTTCCGCGGTTGATGATGGGAGGTTTCCTGGCTACCGGGGCGGACCGTTTCGACGAGTGTTTTGAAAAGAGCCCGATGAAAGGATCCTCCATGTACCCCAACTGGACGGCCGATCTGTCAAACGCATGTAAGTTACGATCGGGCAGATTAGCATGGTGCATACGCGCGGCAGGCTGTGGCATCGTCGTTGGTGCTCCGAACGGCGTCGTCGGTCGCTGGGCTTGGAGGCGGCAGCATGCTCATGTTTGTCCTCGGAAATTTTTTGTTTTCATGGGCTTATCCATGATACTCGTAGGTACTCGTAGCTTCTACTTGCAAACTCCCGCGCTGACTCAAGTTAGAGACAGTCACTACAAGCTGACAACGCTAATCAGGTGCATTTTTTTGTCCAAAGCGATTTTTCTTTAGGCCTAAAGCCAGGGCACAATATCTAGGATTTTCCGTAGGTCGACGTAGGATAAAATAAACGCGTACAGTAGGAGCTTACTGTATAAGATCGCCACCTTGACACGCTGGCTCCTCGTTCGATTTCGTATTTCCGCAGTGGCGCCCGCAACTCATTTCGCTGAGGCTCACAGAGTCACACTCCATGACGACAAAATCGTTTCACAAGTACGACGTTTTGTTTTGGATTCTTCCACAGCTCGCTAGTGTGAGAGACGTCGGCACCGATGATGGGGGTTCCGCAGAAGAGAGAGTCGCCGGACGGGCCAGAGATCACCCGAGATGAGCCTCAGACCAAGAGGGCAAAGAGCATCGGCTCTGCCTGTGGACGGCGGACGGCTTACGGGGGACTGGTCAGACGGACCAAGATCGCAAAGGATCCCTTCAAGGCCAGCCCTCTGCTAAAGTTTCAAAGCCTTCGCCCTCATCCTAACGGCGTCCTACCGATGGGGAACTACTTCCTAAGGGACGGCAATGCCCCTGACTCAAGAGCTATTGGACTCGGATCTTTTGGAGCCCTGGAGGATGAGATGATCGTTCAGCTTCTCTCTGATCCCATGCTGCTGGGCGTTAAGGATCTCTGCCGCCTTGCCGCATGCTCTAGGGCCTTTTATGTCTTTGCTTGCTTCGAGGAGATCTGGCGAGGCCGCACGATCCAGACTTTCGGTGGGAGGTTCGGCAAGACCTTTGGATCTAGTTGGAGGGACACTTTCCGTCGAAGGGCTGTGGACACTGGTTTATACAGAATGGCAGAAGGAAGCTCATTGCCGCCGTTGGAACCGATCCGGGTTCCCAACTTTTACTCGGATTTCCTTTACAGCTCTTGGCGCTGCGCTACTATCCCGCTGGATCAGCTATGCCGGGTCAATGCTCAGGAGAACATTGATCGTCGGAGCAACCTGAGCGTTGAAGAATTCATTGAGAGGTAGATTTATTCATCTCGACTTCAACTAACGAGGTCCTATCAGCTACGCTAAACCCAATGTGCCTGTGATTATCACCGATGTCGTTCCCAAGTGGCCTGCGTACGGCAAGTGGAATTTAGACTACTTGGTGAAGGTCTGCGGCGACGTAGAGTTCCGAGCCGAAGCGGTGGATGTATCCCTCGAAACCTATGCATCTTATTCAAAAGTGTGCGGCAAGGGCAACGGCTCCTTCGAGGAGAGCCCGCTGTACCTATTCGACCGCAATTTTGCCAACCGGACTGGGCTCGAAAAAGACTACTGCGTACCGGAGTACTTTCGAGACGATCTGTTCAAGGTCATGGGCGACGGCATGCGGCCCGATTACCGATGGCTCATCCTTGGTCCGCCGAGGTCGGGGTCTACTTTCCATTTGGATCCGAACCAAACGAGTGCATGGAATGCGGTGATCTCTGGATCAAAGAAGTGGCTGCTGTTTCCCCCAGAGGTGGTTCCTCCCGGGGTTTATCCCAGCGAGGATGGTAGCGAGGTGGGACTCTAAACGTTGATTTTTTAAGTGACGATTTTTAGGTCACGTCGCCAGTATCATTGGCGGAATGGTTCCTGAATCATTACCACGAGATTGCTAGCTCCCCGGTCAAACCGATCGAATGCATCTGCCGCGCGGGTGATTTGATTTTTGTTCCGAGAGGTAACTTTTTTTTCCTGTGTCCTCGCGCCGGACTTCACCGTGACATGTTCCTAACAACATTCTTCTATTGAAATCCACTGATATTCCTAGGGTGGTGGCATGCTGTGATGAACCTCGAGGAAACGGTAGCCATCACGCAAAATTTCGTTTCTCGCGAGAACCTTTCGCATGTTCTTCGCTTTATGGCGACAAAGCCCGATCAGATATCCGGCTTCAAGGATGGCTGCGGCCAGCCCGAGACGCTCTACAAGAAATTTGTCGAATGCTTAGGCGAAGAATATCGCGCGACGGTCGAGCAAGAAATTAACGAGCGCAAAGTGGAGAACACGGCTCAGGTGCTTAAAAGTCGTTCAGGCCTCGCAGCCACATTCGGGGATCAGGATGCCCCAAAGTTTTCTTTCGGTTTTGACCTGGATGATTAAATACATCGCAAAATCTACACAGCAACGAATGCACGCTTATAACGCGTAATTTTCGCGTTTTGAAAATGGAGGGCGGATGGCCGAGTTGGTCTAAGGCGGTCGACTTAAGCTCGACTATCGAAAGATGCGTGGGTTCGAACCCCACTCCGCCCAGTTTATACTGCTTCGTGACGTGTGTGTACCACTTCGCCCATTTTATACTGCTTCGTGACGC